TTTTTGTACAATAAGATAAAAGAAGTGTCTTATAAAATGATACATCGGTGCTATCCCACAAAATGTTTTTTACAAAGGTTTATTTCTGAGGATTTTGATGTAAATCGCTCCTTCTGTGGTCTCCAAACTGAAGATTTGTCTCATTTATTTTGGTATTGTGAGTATACTAAGAATCTGTGGAAAAACATTTTGAGTATTTTTTGTGGTATAATTCCTGAAAATTCATTGAAATATGAAAATGTTATTCTGGGTTATACACATTTTGAAAGGGAACGACCAGATGTTTTTTATTTACTCAATCTTATTTTGTTTCTCGCTAAATATTTTGTACACAAATGTAAATATTGTAAGTGTAAGCCTTTCTTTAACCTTTTTCTGGAAGAGTTAAAACTGTATATGTATTTGATTTCTGAGTCTTCCAATAAGAAAGCTGTAAAAACTGTGAATCTTTTTAAAAGGTACATTATTTTCTTGCTCCCTGGCATGTAGTATATTAATGTCATTCTGTGTTTCATATATTATAATAAAAAAAAAAAACAGGGACATATTGTTTATAAAAAAAGAGGTTCAACAGTATATCCAAACTATTTCATCTTCCAAGAATCTCAAGGCTTTTAAAACGGTTAATTTATTTAATCTTTTTCTTTTATTTTGTTAAATCTTTCATTTTGTATTATTTATTTATTGTTACATACATCTATAAATGGTACTTTGCATGTAATGTCACCTCTTTGGATGTAATGTTGATATTCTCTGTATTTTTATATTTGGTACCTTGGCATTAATAAAAATTAATAAATAAAAAACAGGGACATTTATTCCAGGAATGCAAAAAATTCTGATATTAATTGGAAAGTGGATTGGTCAAATCCTTACAAATTTTGTATTTTGAACAAATTTAAAGAGGTACATTTCAAAATACCTTTTATTTTATTTAAAAATATATATTTTTGTTTTATTTTAAAATACTTTTAAATTTTACCCATGTAAAGTAGCTCTTTCTAAATTCATGGACATGGACAATAATTGCATTTTTGCATTTTTTCATGAGGAAGACTTGTCTCATTTGTTTTATAACTGTGATTTGTCTTTTAGATTTTTGTCTGTTGTTAGTGCCTTTTTATTTTTTTCAAAGAAATGTTAATTACCGGTACATGCTCTCTTTAAAAGATGTTATTTGCACTTATTCAGACAAAAGCAAAATGACTGAGTATGTCGTTAACTTTTACATTTTGAAAGGTAAAATATTACATACATAAAAGAAATTGCGAAATGCATACCAAAATGTAATTTATTTTTATTCGAAATTGAATCTTTGAATGAGTCTCTAATGCAAATTAATAACAAAAAGAATGACATACTGTTAAATTTCATACATTATTTTCTTGTTCCCTGGCATGTAGTATATTAATGTCATTCTGTGTTTCATATATTATAATAAAAAATAAAAAAAACAGGGACATATTGTTTATAAAAAAGAGGTTCAACAGTATATCCAAACTATTTCATCTTCCAAGAATCTCAAGGCTTTTAAAACGGTTAATTTATTTAATCTTTTTCTTTTATTTTGTTAAATCTTTCATTTTGTATTATTTATTTATTGTTACATACATCTATAAATGGTACTTTGCATGTAATGTCACCTCTTTGGATGTAATGTTGATATTCTCTGTATTTTTATATTTGGTACCTTGGCATTAATAAAAATTAATAAATAAAAAACAGGGACATTTATTCCAGGAATGCAAAAAATTCTGATATTAATTGGAAAGTGGATTGGTCAAATCCTTACAAATTTTGTATTTTGAACAAATTTAAAGAGGTACATTTCAAAATACCTTTTATTTTATTTAAAAATATATATTTTTGTTTTATTTTAAAATACTTTTAAATTTTACCCATGTAAAGTAGCTCTTTCTAAATTCATGGACATGGACAATAATTGCATTTTTGCATTTTTTCATGAGGAAGACTTGTCTCATTTGTTTTATAACTGTGATTTGTCTTTTAGATTTTTGTCTGTTGTTAGTGCCTTTTTATTTTTTTCAAAGAAATGTTAATTACCGGTACATGCTCTCTTTAAAAGATGTTATTTGCACTTATTCAGACAAAAGCAAAATGACTGAGTATGTCGTTAACTTTTACATTTTGAAAGGTAAAATATTACATACATAAAAGAAATTGCGAAATGCATACCAAAATGTAATTTATTTTTATTCGAAATTGAATCTTTGAATGAGTCTCTAATGCAAATTAATAACAAAAAGAATGACATACTGTTAAATTTCATGGAGGATTTTTTTTCTTATATAGTTCCCCCACTGTAGTCTCTGATTTTGTCCTTAGGAAGAAGGAAGATCATTTTAACTATTGGGTAGTTGTTTATATGTATGTTTATTATTATTATTATTACTTTATATTATTTTTTCTTTCTCTCTTCTCTTAAATGCTGTGACAGATTAAGATTGTTCTCCCTTCTTGTGTATGTGGAATTAATTGTTTAAATTGATTGTAATGTTCAATAATTTCTTCTATAAAAAAAGGGGGACATTTATGACTCATTTACGTTTTATTAGAATACTGTATTGTTGTTGTATTTCATCAAAATAGGTATTCGGCACTGTTTTGTTTGGTATTGTTCTTCTTAAACAGAAATTATTTTATTTTATAGGTAAATGTCTTGAAATTATTGTTAAAATCTTTGTTTTGTTAACTAAATTTCATATTTGTAAGCAAAACAAATTGCATATGTAACCAACCAACCACGTAAAAAAAATTATATTTTAAATTAAATAATAATAATTTATATGTTTTCAAATTCCCAATAACCTCTTATACAACATACTGTATGTCATCTCTATATTTTTTATGGATGTATAGTACAATGCAGTGTTGATATATTCTGTACTGTTCTCGTTTGCATGTTACTTATAACATAAAACGAATTAAAAAAAACAAGGATAGTTGGATTTTTTTGAAAAATCTCAAATAAAGTTTACCAGTAATTTTTTTCAGAAACACATAGGCTACAATAGGCAGCTATATTGGTTAATTAGTCATTCCACCAGGAGGGAACAGTTAATGAAAAAGTCTGTGAAAGTGATTTTGTGCCTCTTTGAGATACACCGTTCACTTGCAGAAAGCAAGTTTCTAGAGGGTACATAACTCTGAAGTAATGAATTTAGGTAAATGGGTGCAGAGCCAGTGGTGGTCTTGTAGGCAAACATTAATGCCTTGAATTTAATGCGAGCAGCTACTGGTAGCCAGTGCAAATTGATAAACAGAGGTATGACATGCGTTCTTTTCGGCTCATTAAAGATTAATCTTGCAGCTGCATTTCGGATCAATTGTAGAGGTTTGATAGGAGTGGCTGGAAGACCTGCCGAGAAACAGACAGTGTCTAAACAAGACGTAAGAGTGGAGCAGAAAGTATCAATAGCACTGTTAACATCAAGAGATGATAACTGTTCAGGAGAATGAAGCAAAGATGAAACCATAGAAGATAGCCGGGAGGGTGAGAGTGAGCGTAGGTTACTTCGAAAAGTGACATGTGTAGGGGTATGTGTTGTGTCAGGAACCATGTTGAGGTTAAGAGTGAGGAGGAAGTGATCTGAGGTGTGCAGTGGAGTAGCCAGCCACATGATCAGTGGAGCAGTGTCATGTGTAAAGAAAGGCCAGTTGGTTGCCTGATTTGTGAGTAGCCGTAGTTAACACTTGCTTGAGATCAAAAGAGGCAAGCAGAGTGTGGAAGTCTGCAGCCTGAGGTTTATCTAGGTGGATGTTGAAGTCTCCAAGCATAACTAGGGGAGTACCATTCTCAAGAAAGTTTGAGAGCAGCACATCTAATTCTTCCACGAACTTACCTAGTGGTCCTGGGGGTCGATAAACAACTATAAAATGGATTTTAAGAGGGTGGGTAATAGTGGCTGAATGTGATTCAAAGGAGCTATTGATACTGAGAGATAGTAAAGGATTACATTTCCAATCATTAGAGATAAGCAGACCAGTACCTCCACCTCTTCCAGTCAGAAGGGGGGGAGTGGGAAAAAGAGAAATTATTGGAGAGTGCTGCAGGTGTAGCATTGTCCTCTGTACATATTATACATAGGCTTTATATAAAATCAAATTACAAATGGTAATGCAATTTAAATGAAACAAACATCTCGGTATTAACACTAAACTTTTTTTGGATGCTGAGATCAAATGTGCATTACGATCATTAGGGCAGCAAGAACAACTGAACA